GATCGTCCACCTCCACGCACATTTATTTGAGGTGTGGCGGTGCGCCCCACCTCACACCCACATTTAAGGAGAGGATGTGGCAGGCGCGTCCCAACCTCCACCACACACAAGGTGAAGGTGTGGCAAAAAAAAGTGCGTCCCTCCTTTACCACATATATGATGAGGTTGGCAAGTGCGACCCTCCTTTACCACATACTTTGGTGAGGTTGGCAAGTGCGTCCCACCTCCACCACATAAAAATGGTGAGGTGTGGCAGGGTACGTCCCACTTCCAAAACATAACGTGGTAAGGTGTGGAGGTACGTCCCACCCTCCACCCATATATGGAGAAGGGTTGGCAGGTGCGGTCCCCTCCTCCACCCCAATACATTGTGAGGTGTGGCAGTGCATCCCACCTCCCACAACATACATGGTGAGGTGTGCAGGTGCGGTCCCACCCCACCACTATACATATTGGAGGAGTGGCAGTTACGTCCCGCCTACCCCCACATACTTGTGAGGGTCCTGGCAGGGTCGCCCTCCTCCTCCCCCACATACATGGTGGAGTGTGCAGGTGCGTCCACCTCCACCACATACATGGGTAGGTGTGAGAGGTACTCCCCACCTCCACTACTTACAAGGTGAGGTTGGCAGGAGCGTCCCGCCTCTACCACATACAGGTGAGGTGTGGGCAGGTCTGTCCCACCTCCACACAATACATTATTGATATGGTGGCATGTCGCCCCACCTCCTCCACATACAAGGTAGGTGGTTGCAGGTGCGTCCCCCTCCACCACATATTGTTGAGGTGTGGCAGGTACGGTCCCCCCCTCCACCAAATACAAGGTAGGTGGTGGCAAGTGTTGCGACCCACCTCAACCACAAGCATGTTAGATATGGCAGGAGGCGCGTCCCACCTGCCATCAATCCAGTGAGGTGTGGCAGGTGAGCGGTCCCACCTCAACCACATGCATGGTGAGATGTGGCAGGTGCGTCCCCCTCCACCACATACATGGTGAGGTGTGCAGGTGCTTCCGTTCCCCACCTCCACAACACTACATTGTGAGGTGTGGGCCAGTGCTCCTCCCACCTCTGCCACATACATGGTGAGGTGTGGCAGGTAATCCCACCTACACTCCCATATATGGTGAGGTGCGGCAGGTTCGTCCCACCTCCCACCACATTTATTTATGAGGTGTGGCATGGTGCATCCCACCTCCACCACATACATAGGAGGTGTGTTTTTACAGGTGCGTCCCCACTCCAAAACATACATGGTAAGGTGTGGCAGGTTCGTCCCACCTCTACCACATACATGGTGAGGTGTGGCAGGTACGTCCCACCTACACCTTATATATGGTGAGGTGCGGCTGGTGCGTCCTACCTCCACCACATACATGGTGAGGTGTGGCAGGTGCGTATCACCTCCACCACATACATGGTGAGGTGTGGCAGGTGCGTCCCACCTCCACCACATACATGGTGAGGTGTGACAGGTGCGTCCCACCTCCACCACATACATGGTGAGGTGTGACAGGTGCGTCCCCCCTCCACCACATACATGGTGAGGTGTGGCAGGTGCGTCCCACCTCCACCACATACATGGTGAGGTGTGACAGGTGCGTCCCACCTCCACCACATACATGGTGAGGTGTGGCAGCTGCGTCCCACCTCCACCACATACATGGTGAGGTGTGGCAGGTGCGTCCCACCTCCACCACATACATGGTGAGGTGTGACAGGTGCGTCCCACCTCCACCACATACATGGTGAGGTGTGGCAGGTGCGTCCCACCTCCACCACATACATGGTGAGGTGTGGCAGGTGCGTCCCACCTCCCTTAAAGGACTCAAAACAATGAATTTTACTAAAGGCAAAAAAAAAGAAAAAAGAAAAAAGAAACTGATGGTATTGACATATTGGTGTCCTCACAATATACACATTGAGGATTTCATATAAATGTATGTATTAATATATAAATTACCGTTATGTAAGGATGTGTATACCATAGAATTGCCGAAATATAGCTATGTAGAATTTGAAACTGGTAATTTGTATTAAATAGACATGAACTATTAAAGCAAGAAAATGATTGTCTTCATAAATAATGTTTAAAGATTTAATTGTTTACAAGAGTTTTTATAGAGTAATAATTTCTTTTCGACAAAAGTTAGTAGAAGATAAATAGGGAATAAGGGAACGATATGATACGTATTTTCTAAATATTTCGTGGAACTTGAGCTCTTGCGCTTCTGATTGATGCCTTCATCAGGAGCTGAATGTTTAAAAGAATCGAGGAGGGAGGGTTGTCAGGAAAATTAAGATAACATGTAGTAAATGATATCTGCGGCGAGCAGGAAGTTGGAGGAACTACGGGGCCACAGAGGCAACTCTCGGTAAGTTGTCACAGAGTGTTGGAGTTAATATTTGATCACAAGGATAGTAAATGAAAGAGAATACAATTCCTAACGTAAACCTGCTTATGAAATATTCTCAGTTTTAATGTTAAGCTAATATCGGCAATAATAAGTCATAAATTTCAGACAATGATAAAACTGAGTGAAGGTTACGTGTACTTACCTCTATCTTCTAGATGACTAGTGTATTATATCTAACTCAAGAAATCGTAATGTCACAAATGGAAACAAACTATACCACAGGCGGGGATAGAACCCGCGGTCAGAGAGTCATAAAACTCCAGACCGATGCAATCGTGTCATTACGATTTCGTGAGTTATGATAACGGCTTTCAGGGGACTTGAGCTAAAGCTCGTCACGGCAACGCTGGTGGGAGATTCGTTTGTTAAAACTTGCATTTGTGGTCACAGTGGTGACTATGTTAATTAACCATCCTATGGTGTATAAATATACCTTGTTGGACGAATCTTGTTGTAGCCAGCTGGCCCAGTGGCTAGCGCGTCGGTCTGGAGTTTTATGACTCTCTGATCGTGGGTTCTATCCCCGCCCGTGGTATGGTTTGTATTATATCTAGCCAGAAAGATTTAACTATAGAATAATTCTCAAAATCATGGTGATATATTCAGCTCAGTGACCATTTCTATAGTTATTTGTGAAACAATAAAGAGAAAATCCATGTTTGTAAATACCTCGGTATTACACACAAAATCATAATAAATCACGGATGGGCTTAGGACCCACCCGTTCCGGGATTTATTTATCAAGCAAGAAATTACATTTGAGCGACGGTGAGAGTGTCACCATAAGCAGAAATATAAATTTGTAATTATAACATCTTGGCATTATTTAACAAATTCTTGCCAACAGGGTGAAAAATAAATTATCAACAACATGGTTTAGTGTACTAAGATAAGTATAACTAAAAAAAATTGTGTGGAAATATTCGGTGGAATTAAATGATTTCTTGAGAAGACGAAGTTAATCTCAATTTTTCAGATCGCTGAACACAGAAATATTTAATTGAATAACTGAGTCAGTAACCTCTGAACGGTTTAATAATTAAACAATTAGCCAGTCATGAAAAAATTTATGAATGTTGAATAACAGGAAAAATATAAGTAACACATTTTGTGTATATATTTTCTCTGTCTTTAAGAAGAACAGGACAAATGGAATGTTTTAGGGAACCTAAGCATCTACGACCTCTAAGGAAGTAAGTAATCAACCCTAAGATGCTTGCTGGCATACACAGATTTAAGATTAATTGACGTATAGACGCTGAGTTACGAAAATATGTCATTTTTTTAATTTATTTGGTTATCCTAGTTAATTTACATATTTGTTGGTAGTATGAAAAGTAAAAAATCTAAAATTTGTGTTACGAACGTAAATAAAATTAGTTTTTGCTAAAACTAGCGATTGTAATACAAGAATTGAATAGTGTATATAAAGAAATTTAATGGAAACTCTGAGTGGCGGTGTTGAGTTTATTGTAGGCTTTGCCAAACCTACTAACATTAGCATACTAACCTGTCAAAATATATTGGACTACACTTCGAGGAAACGTTTTTGGAATAAATTATCTCAATCAGCCCAAACTGATCACTAACTCGTCAAGTCACCACAGCAAAGAAACTGGAGCCTTTATCTTTGATGATTTTTTTTTTATTTTTGAGAGTTCTTGAGTGCAACTGTTTTGGATAGAAAGCCAATGGCCCTAGTAACTGATTCTCTGCCTTCCACTTCCTCCATAGTAGAAAGTGGAGGTTGCGGTCGACCCTTACGTGATATTTGTGTTTGATTTTTTTCATACAAGCGACTAGTTTTGTGATCTGCTAGTAACTGTTAAGACTGCTTCTAAAGTCTGAAGTATTTCACTGGCACATTGTTGAGACTTTCATACCCAGGTAAATATGGAGTCTTGTTATGTTCTTGTTCACTGCAACGATCAAGTGAATATGAATAAAGATGACATTGTTTATAATTTTGGAGATCAGGAAGTTATTGACGTGCTTTTCATGACCAAATTTATTGGAAAAGTAATACAGAGAATTCTCCTAATTTCCTTACTGCTTGGTAAAAAAAAAAAAAAACTTCCCTCACTACATTTGCTAAAAATACCCTGACAATCGAAGTTACCTTTGATAACTTCATATTATTTAATCATTTCCAAGTTCCGAATGCAATGTATATTGTTCACACATTACTCTCGACTTCTCTACTGCCTTCAACTTCTTCCTCACTGCAATATTTAAAGGCCATGCCTCACACCCCAATAAAAGTGCTGGAGTTAAAGCTCCTGGACGGTGGGAACTGTGTTCACTTATATAAACCATTTTTAAACTCTCCCAAAATCGTCCACTAAACTTTGCAATTACTAATAAGAAATTTCTCAGAGAGCCGTGTCATCGTCGGTAGAGAGCATCTGCAAGAAACCTTACTTGATACATGTGTACTGTGTGTAGTCTCACACAGCAAAGAAATCTTCCTAGATTGTGGTCTTCATTTGCTAATTTAATCATTGTTCCTAATTTAAAACTCTTCTTTCCACTTTCCCAGAAAAATATGAGTGATTCCAAGACCCAGCACTGTTCTTTTCCGCAGTTGGTGTCTGTAGGAAGCCGAGTGACACTGAGTTGCCGAGTCCAGGGCACACCTGTAGCCGAGGTTCGCTGGTACAAGGATGGGACAGTCCTACACCCACACTCCCACAACCACATGCTCCTACAAGGTCGCGACACACTAGCCATCGCTAACGTTGGGGAGAGAGACTCCGGCATGTACCAGTGTGTGGCTGCCAACAGTCTAGGGGAGGTTCAAGCTAGCATGGAGCTTACCATCAAGGGTGAGTGTGCTCAAGGTTCTTGCACATAGTTACCACTTAGATAATGATTATGGCAACCAGCTCATGATGAGATAAGTTTTCCATAAGACATCAAGACAGAACAGTTACCACCGTGGAAAATGTTAGGGTAGAGTAAACATTAATTTCTCCACTGAAGATTGTTTCGTGTGTAATTTGATTTATATAATGCATTAGTGTTTTTCGTGAGAATAACGAATATAATAATTTGTGGAGATTAATTACAAGTCTGGTGTATTTTACTTTTTGTGGGTATATGGGGAATTTTGGATAGATTATAGTTCTAAAAATAATTATGACAGTTTGTGCTGATGCTGTTGTATTATTTAAGAACCTAAGAAAGGAGGAACACTGCAGCAGGGCTGATGGCCCACACTAGGCAGGTCCTTCACAAGTCCAACCCACTAACAGAATTAGATTTTTTTTAGATTTTGCCACCGAAGTGGCTAGTTTATTGTGCACCCCATATCCTGTGGACGGTAGCGCGAGAGCATATGGATACACAAAAGGCCTAGGAACTAGGCCTCAAAGGGTTAACAGGAATACATATGGATTTATATCTACATATCTATAGTTCACTTATCTGTTGCAAGCAAATTTGCTTGCAACTAACAGAATAAACGCTACCCAAGCAATAAGCCTTAATAATTCTATTTACTCATGAGCAAGTCCCACTCAAATCCTGGAAGACTCTTCAGATTAAAGACCAAAGTGGCATAGTAGACATATTGCTAAATCGAGCTGACAGTTGAGTGGTGTGACTTCGTTTTCAACTGTGAAAGAGATCCCAAATCTTTGATTTAGTTAGAGCTACTTTCCCTTGATATAAATATGTTTTTACAGATCATGGAACGGTTAGGACTTCAACCCACGCTAAGTAACTCCTAAAATTCACACGCACTCGGTCATTTGCTTCAGCTGGTCGAGTTGTTAGCGCACTTGCTACTGGTTTAAGCTCCACTCGTTCCCTGATTTATTATTCACTAATTCAGTCAAGTTTCTGTTGCATATTTTTGTTGAGAAAGTTAATCATAATTGTAGATCTGACGTTCTGACTACAACACTGTTATTATTGTGCTTGCTTACTCAATACTCTCCCTCTTCTTTTTCTTCCAACATGGCGGCCACTTTACGCCCACACCCATAACCACGCCCACATCCACGACCACGCCCACACCCACGACCACAAACACACCCACGACCACAAACACACCCACGACCACAAACACACCCATGAATACGTCTTTGATCGACGGTTAATTCTGTTACCACACCCATGCAAGTAACTTACAATTAATATAATAAATTGCTCCTTGACTTATACTAACACCACTTGACAACACGCACTCTGCTAACTCAACTTCACTCATCTTCACACGTGTACTAACACCACTTGACAACACGCACTCTGCTAACTCAACTTCACTCATCTTCACTCGTGTACTAACAACATATTTCTACATGTGGACAAATAATCTACTCTCATATCTTTTAAATCAACCTACGACGACATCCATGCAATCAACTTACACCCCATCAATTTACACCCATTCCATTAATCCACTGCTCGCTGACACTACCATCAATTTGCCTGTATGCTGGCACTACAAACCACATCCTGAATGCTAACAATACAATCTACTGCATGCTGGCACTACCACCAACCTACCTGCATGCTGGCACTACCACCAACCTACTTGCATGCTGGCACTACCACCAACCTACCTGCATGCTGACACTACGACCAACCTACCTGCATACTGGCACTACCACCCACCTATCTGCATGCTGGCACTACCACCAACCTACCTGTATGCTGTCACTACCACCAACCTACATGTATGCTGGCACTACCACCAACCTACCTGCATGCTGGCACTACCACCAACCTACCTGCATGCTGGCACTACCACCAACCTACCTGTATGCTGGCACTACCACCAACCTACCTGTATGCTGGCACTACCACCAACCTACCTACATGCTGGCACTACCACCAACCTATCTGCATGCTGGCACTACCACCAACCTACCTGCATGCTGGCACTACCACCAATCTACCTGCATGCTTGCACTACCGCCAACCTACTTGCATGCTGGCACTACCACCAACCTACCTGCATGCTGGCACTACCACCAACCTACCTGTATGCTGGCACTACCACCAACCTACCTGTATGCTGGCACTACCACCAACCTACCTACATGCTGGCACTACCACCAACCTATCTGCATGCTGGCACTACCACCAACCTACCTGCATGCTGGCACTACCACCAATCTACCTGCATGCTTGCACTACCGCCAACCTACTTGCATGCTGGCACTACCACCAACCTACCTGCATGCTGGCACTACCACCAACCTACCTGCATGCTGGCACTACCACCAACCTACCTGCATGCTGGCACTACCACCAACCTACCTGCATGATGGCACTATCAACCACCATCCTGCACGCTGAGGCAAGCAACCACCTACCTGCATGCTGGCACTACCACCAACCTATCTGCGTGCTGGCACTACCAACCACCATCCTGCATTCTGACGCAAACAACCACCTACCTGCATGCTGGTACTACCACCAATACTGCAACAACACAGACTCCCCACCAACACTGCGACACACCTTCATAGAACAAACACTACAGCCTGGGCCGCCAGTGTCCCTCAAATGCACCGCCCTGGGACACCCCACGCCAGTCATCACCTGGACGCTGGACGCTCGCCCACTCGAGCCCTCAAGCGGACACTACGGTGGGCACCGGGTGGGGGTGGGCTCATGGGTTGATGTTGAAGGTCAGGTAGTGAGTCAGGTGAATATCAGCAGTGTGGATCACCTGGACGGGGGCACCTACACGTGCACAGCTATGAACACGGCCGGGAAGGTGCACCATTCAGCCAGACTGAATATTTACGGTAAGTCTTAGATGATATAAATTCTCTATATTGGACTGTGATGTTTATGGCAGGACGAACGTTAGTCATCAACAACACTGAATATGTTTAGCTATCTCTTAAGCTTTCCAGCGACCTACAGTGGTTCCAAAGTGGTATCAGTCTCTAGTGAACTTTACTTGATATCGGCTGTGATTTCTAAACCTGTGTTTCTCAACTTTTCCATTCATCGCTGGTCAGTCTCTCGTGTTGCTTATCCTGACAGTTTTCCAACTTTGTTACTTCCTCAACCATAACAGTGGAAACTCTTTTATATACCTTCATATTACTCCACCTACCTACACACACACACACACACACACACACACACACACACACACACACACACACACACACACACACACACACACACACACACACACAAACACACAGGCAAGCACACCTACACACACATACACACAAGCACACAGGTAAAGACACACACACACACACACACACACACACACGCACACACACACACACACACACACACACACACACACACACACACACACACACACACACACACACACACACACAAATAAAAAACACAAAAAACATACACATTTTAACACAAGCATACATAAATGCACACACAAACACATTAGAAGAGGTGCGATGGAGCTCTGGGAGCGGGGAGTGGACATGTAAACGACAAGTAACGTTACAAGGCCAGGAGCAGTGAATCGACCTCTGCATCCGCAAATGGGTGAGTACACACACACACACAAAAAAAAAGTATCCCAAAATGCAGGATGTAGAGGCCAAGGGAATCGGGAACTGCTGGTCAGAGAAGCATGGACAGAAAGGTTCTAGAGCACAATAGAAGTAGAAAGGTTACAAAAGGCTAAACGAGTTTGGAACGCAGTGGTGAAGATATTTACAGAGAGCAAGAAGTGGGAGTTAAGGTGCTGTAGCTGCTTAGGCAAAGATGCAGAGCCTGGTGGAAGAAATGTAGGTGCTGAAGTGGGATACTGAGGTAAGGACTGACAGAATCATGGTGTAGGGTACAGGAATATAAGTGGACAGTAAGGTGACAAAAGGAGAGGAAAGAGCTAAGAAGTCTTTTGCAGTAGTGATATTAGGCCACTGGGAAGTCTGGACGACAGTAGGGGAAACAACTAAGGAAATGTTTAAATCAGATCCAGAGATATGGAGGAAAAAATGGGAAGTGAATGGAAGAGGTCACTTATTATTCATTAGCTTCATGAAAGAGAAGGAAGGACCTAAGATGTAAGAAGAAAGAGGGAAGTAAAAGGTACTAAGAATATCATTGCAATAACTGGAGAGAAGGACATGGCCCAGCTGACAAATTCTCAGAGACTTTGGGGGTAGTCAAGGGAAAAAATCCACCCAGTCAAATTGACATTCAAGGTAGAAATGGTATGAAACAAGATCTTGTAGTGGAATCCATTATTAAAAAGACACCAAAAATACCAGCGAGTGAACCTCGATCACTACAGTACATAAAAAGAATGGGAACAATTGAGAGACTGAGAAAGAAGGAAGAAAAGGGAAGACAGGGCAGGCACTTATAGGTGAATACAGCCTTGGAGGGGTAGGGGACAACAAATACAAATGCTCACAGAACCACCCATTCATCCCCTCAAATCAAACCAGGAAAACACAATAACCAGAAACAAGCCACACTCATCATTGACAATCCCCATACTCCCCAGCACTACTGTCACCACCACAGCAGCCTCCCATAAAATCCAGGCATGCCTTCCACAAATATCAGTCAGACACCCCGCAGAATACAGAACTGTAAAGGAAGCTGAGGTCATGGCACTTTCCGACTGGATACCAGATCCTGAAGAAAGACAGAAGAACAGAGGGGAAGGAGCTGGGATGGGAATACTGAACAGAGGGGAAGCAGATGACTACATAGTAGGAATTCTTCAGACCAGGGCTCCAATACTGAAGATAACAGTGATACACAACCCACCGCCAAACAGAAGGAGACCAAGACATGAGTACGAAGAGAACAACAGAGTGACAGTGAACACACTGGCCAAGGTGGCCAGAGTGGCCCACAAGGGCTACAAAGAAATTCACTGGGAAAACCTGGAGACACATGAGGGACCAGAGAAATGGAGGGCTAAGATGTTGGAGGCAGTGTTGGAAAACTTCTTGAACCATCATGTTAGGGACACAACCAGAGAGAGAGAGAGAGAGAGAGAGAGAGAGAGAGAGAGAGAGAGAGAGAGAGAGAGAGAGAGAGAGAGAGAGAGAGAGAGAGAGAGAGAGAGAGAGAGGAGATGATGAACCAGCAAGGCAGAACTTCGTTTTTACCTTGAGCAGTTCAGACACAGGGGATATTACAAATGAAAGGCCCCTTACCAGTAGTGATCAGCAGTACGATAAGGATGGGAGAAACCTAACTTTAAGAAAAGGGGACTGCACAGGAATGAGGAAATACCAGGATGATGTGCAGTGGGAAAGAGAGTTAGAGGGAAAGACAGTAAATGAAGTGTTGGGACACATGACCACAAAGTGCAGAGGAGAAGTTCATATCATTGAGGAAGAGAAACAATGGGAAAATCAGAATGTGAAGAGGCCAAAGCCAAGGGTACTAGAGAATGGAAAAAGTATAGAAGGCAAAGGACTAAGGCAAACAAGGAGTTGAGCAGAAGAGCCAATAGCAAATATGCATGCATTTAGAAAGAGATCCAATGGTAATACGAGAACAACAAAGCATCAAAAGCTAAATCTGACCCAAAGTTGTTATACAGTCGCATCAGTAGGAAAGCAACAGTCAAGGACCATGTAATCAGGTTGAGAAAGAAAGGAGACCTCACAGTGAGCGACCAGGAAGTATGTGAACAGTTCAGCACAAGATGTCAAAGGATGCCAAGCCCGTGATGATTTTCTTCAAATCTCTTGTTGTCTCTAGGCTGGGATATTGCTGTACACTAACAGCCACCTTTAAGGTGGGCGAAATTTCAGGTCTTGAGAATGTACAGAGAACTTCCATGGCACGCATAAGTACGATAAAGCACCTAAATTACTGGGAATGGTTAAAGTCCCTTGGTTTGTATTCCGTGGAATGCAGGCGAGAAAGATACATGATAATATGCACTTGGAAAATGCTAGAGGGACTAGTCCTAGATTTGCACACGAAAATCACTCCCTACGAAAGCAAAATACTGACAGGAGATGCAACATCCCACCAATGAAAAGAGGGGTGCCACGAGTACGCTAAGAGACAACACAATTAGTGTCAGAGGTCCAAGACTACTCAACTGACTCCCAACATAAACCAGGGGAATTACAAACAAACCCCTGGCTGTCTTCAAGAAGGCGCTGTACAAACATCTAGAGTCAGTATTTGATCAGCTGGGCTGTGATTTGTACATCAGTTTTCGTGCGGCCATTAGCAATAGCCTGGTTGATTAGGCCCTGATGCACCAGGAGGCCTCGTCACAGACCGAGCCGCGGGGGCGTTGATCCCCGAAACCCTCTCCAGGTAAACTCCAGGAATTTACAGTGGAGCTTGGGAAGCTTCCAGCAGACTGAGAGTGTACGATACATCAGCAGGTGCTGGATACAATGCTAACAACCTTGGAGGTGAAGAAACTGATGGGTGAACTAGATATCGTGAAGGCAGTGAGCCCAGATAACATCTCTCCTTGGGTATTGAGGGAGTGAGCAGATGCATTGTGTGTGTACTGCAATCTTCAGAAATTCTATCACAACGAGGCAACTGGCTGAAATGTGGAAGACAGCAAATGTTGTCCCAGTTTTTCACAAATGAGACAGACAGGCAACATTAAACTACAGACCAGTGTTGTTGTCATGTACATTATATAAAGATCCTCGAAAGGAACGAGTTCATACATGACAACTAGCATGGTTTCAGTGAAGGGCAATCCTACGTCTCAAACCTACTGGAGTTCTAGGATAAGGTAACAGAAGTAAGACAAGAGAGAGGGGGATGAGCTAACTGCATTTCCCTCTACTGTAAGAAAGCTTTCGACACAGTACCACACAAGAGACTGGTTAAAACCTAGAGCAGGCAGGAATAGCAGAAAAGTACTGCAATGGATCAGGGAATACATGACAGGAAGGAAACAACTTGCGTTGGTATTTGACGAAAAATCAGAGTGGGCTCATATGTCACGTGGGGTCCCACAAAGGTCAGTCATAGGGCTGGTCCTGCTTCTTGTATAAGTAAATGACATGAATGGGAAAAATTAAGAGGCGTCCCTCTACGCAGTTGTTGTATGTTACAAAATGTGTCTTCGACAGACGACTCCAGAGCTTGCTAGAGGGTCAACAAATTGATCTTCCTCTAACAGTTAGCTTGTTCCTGGTTTTGTAACAAGACGTTATAAATAATTCTATTCTAGTTATATAAGAGGTTACTCTGTAGCTCTTTTCTATATGCAGTCGTGATCATTAAGAGATGAGCTTAAAACAATTATAAAGAACTTAAAGCCTTTAATAATAAAGACGTCCAATTGAATATATACAAAATATTTGACATAAATAAGGAGAATTTCGTACACATCTGTTTGTATATACATCTTTGTATAATTTCATTAATCATAAGAATCTCCATTACAACCGGTATATTAATATAAAGAGATTCATAACAGTCTCAAATTCTGACTGGTAAATATGAAAACATTAAATATGAATAATGAAATAATATAACTATGCACACTTAAGTGGGCATATGGCTATAAGCTCACATCTATTAATGGGCCGAGAAACTCTGCTGAGACTTATAATGACAACAAGTTCTTACAAAGATGGTGTTACACAGTGCCAAGTAGTACGTTCCGTCTCAACCACTGAGATGTATTATTACGGAGCATTGAAATTTGATGTAAGCTGCATTATTAAGGCATTGTTGCTTATATACATCTAAGATTCAGTGCCAGTATGAAGTTGATTAGTTGAGGTTTAGCCTGCAGCATTTGCGATTGAAATTTTTGAATATTTCTGTATTACCGACTAGCACAGCTCAGTGCTTT